TTTATTAACAAACACCGTCCCGGAAGGACGGGGGATTGGGCTGGATCCTCAACCTATGCATAGATCAAGACCCCAAAACAGGGGCCCAAAATATCAACATACTACAGTCTACAGAGTCTCACAAGCAAAACAAAAAACAAAAAAGAAAAAACAATACAAAGTCTGTCTTCGGGCTAACAGGTGCCCAGAATAAAAAATCTAATCTAATGAAAGCAATAAACCTAATTTACTGAAAGCGGAACGATGAATATCCAAGCTGGTCCATCCGTACAAGTGTGCGAAGGCGGAGTGGAGCAGTGTCGGTCTGAAACGTATGTGGGTCTGGTATGGGGGCGCCAAGGCTGGCAAGGTAGTCAGCAAGTCTGTTCCCCTCACAGAAAATGTGCGTGATCCTGTGATGGACAGACCGAAGTAGAGCTCTAATGCGCATAAGCGGGTGCTGAATCTGCCACGAGCCCTGCTGGCCCGAAGTCAGGAGGGTGGCGACAGCCGCAGCGTCCAGCTCGATCCAAATATGACTAGAGAGGTGGACAACAATCTGAAGGTCAATCTGTAATGCCTGAATCTCTGCGTCGTAGCTCGAGGAGGACTGAAGGGGCGCGTGGAAGGCAGTGATGAGGGCGCCAAAAGAGCCATCAGTATTCAGCTTGACCCACGGAGAGTCGGGTCGAAGCCAAACAACAGCTCTGGGCCGAGGGGGCCGAACAGGCGGTGGGGGAGCCACCATGTAGCGGTGTGGTGGCGTGCAGCCTGTCCAGTCTCGGCCGTGAGCCTGCCCAATGCTAGGAGGAGTGAAATGTGTCTCTCTACCTGCAAAACAATGTGAGAAAACAAAAAATTAATATCCCTATGCTTCGCACTATTCCTCTCCGTCCAGGTGAACCAAAGGATCAGACAATGAATGAGGAAGCTCACGTGTCTAAGGTGTGTGATCTGTGAGAAAAAACTCAGGAGGTCAAATAAACTATCTGTGGTGGGTAGGGATATATGGGTCCAAATGGCAAAATGCTCCCACACTCTCCTCACAATCTCACTCTCTAGAAAAAGGTGGGTAAAAAATTTGGACCATTTCTCGATTTATGCGTGTTATCCTTGCGCAGGGGCCATGCTAATATTCTCAGTATCGTTCCAATTTTATCGGATGTCCCAGAAGGGACGTCTGTAGTTGCTATGTTAGTTCTCAGTAGTTGCTAGGTTAGTTCTCTCTAGTTGTTAGGTTAGTTCTCTGTAGTTGCTAGGTTATTAGTTGCTAGGTTAGTTTTCTGTAGTGCTAGGTTAGTCATCTGTAGTTGCTAGGTCAGTTCTCTGTAGTTGCTAGGTTAGTTCTCTGTAGTTGCTAGCTTAGTTCTCTGTAGTTGCTAAGTTTTATTTTATTTTTTTCTAAACAAACGCCGCCCCGGAAGGGTGGGGGATTGGACTGGATCCCCAACCTATGCATAGATCAAGACCCCAAAATGGGGGCCCAAAATATCAACAGTCTACTGTCTACAGAGTCTCACAAACAAAACAAAAAAAGAAATAACAATACAAAGTCTGTCTTCAGGCTAACAGGTTCCCGGTAATAAAAGTCTAATCTAATGAAAGCAATAAACCTAATCTACTGAAAGCGGAACGATGGATATCCAAGCTGGTCCATCCGTACAAGCGTGCGAAGGCGAAGTGGAGCAGTGTCGGTCTGAAACTTATTTGCTAGGTTAGTTCTTTGTGGTTGCTAGGTTAGTTCTCTGTAGTTGCTAAGTTAGTTGTCTGTAGTTGCTAAGTTAGTAGTTGTTAGGTTAGTTCTCTGTAGTTGCTAGGTTAGTAGTAGCTAGGTTAGTTCTCTGTAGTTGCTAGGTTAGTTGTCTGTAGGTGCTAAGAGTTATCCGCATTTTAAGAGCTGGCCGCATTTGATCCGCCTCTTATATATATATATATATATATATATATATATATAGGGATTGGTTCCAATGCATCCGCTTATTTAAAGTGAGGACGTGAGACTCATTCCTAGCCACAAGATTTAAATCTTGATTTAAATAATAATTCTTTATTTTTAATTATTTAAATATTATTATGACCATTGACCGTTGACTCCCGGCGAGAGTTGTTGACTTCCGATGTTGACTCCGGCGTTGACCCGTTGACCTTAGTATGCATCATGTATGAAAGAATAATTAAAGTCAACTAACCTTGCAACTAAAGACAACTAACCTTGCAAACTGAATACGACAAAACATTGCAAATAAAAACAACTAACCCTGCAACAAGATAGAAATAACTTTGCAACTACAGACAACTAACCTTGCAACTAGACAAAACTAACCTTGCAACTAGAGAAAACTAACATTGCAACTAGAGAAAACTAACATAGCAACTAGATAGAACTAACCTTGCAACTAAAGATAACTAACCTTGCAACCAAAGACAACTAACCTTGCAACTAAAGACAATTAACCTTGCAACCAAAGGCAACTAACCTTGCAACTAAAGACGATTAACCTTGCAACTACAAACAACTAATCTTTCAAACTAAATACAACTAAACATTGCAAATAAAGACAACCAACCCTGCAACAAAATAGAACTAACTTTGCAACTACAGACAAGTAACCTTGCAACTAGAGAAAACCAACATTGCAACTAAACATAACTAGCCTTGCAACTAAAGACAACTAACCTTGCAACTACAGACAACTAACCTTCCAAACTGAATACAACTAAACATTGCAAATATAAACAACTAACCCTGCAACATTTTTACAATAACTTTGCAACATATTTACACTAACTTTGTCTCACCATATTTACTTCATACGCAATACATATCGTGGTCAACGGGTCAACGCCGGAAGTCAACGATCAATGTTGGAGTCAACGGTCAACACCGGAAGTCAACGCCGGAAGTCAATGGTCAATGCTGGAGTCAACGGTCAACGCCGGAGTCAACTAATAATTATTTTTATTATTTAATTAATATTTATTTTAATTGATTAACATAAATCCTTGATCTAGACAAAATGAGTGGCTAAGATTGAGTCTTACGTGCTCATTTTAAGGAGTGATCTCATGGGATTCACCCCCTATATATATATATATATAGGGGGCGGATCAAATGCGGCCAGCTCTTAAAATGCGGTCAGCTCTTAAAATGCGGACAACTCTTAGCAACGACAGACAACTAAACTAGCAACTACAGAGAACAAACCTAGCAACTACTAACTTAGCAACTATAGAGAACTAACTTAGCAACTACAGAGAACTAACCTAGCAACCACAGAGAACTAACTTAGCAACTACAAAGAACTAACTTAGCAACTACAGAGAACTAACCTAGCAACTAGTAACCTAGCAACTACAGAGAACTAACCAAGCAACTACAGACAACTAACCTAGCAACTATAGACAACTAACCTAGCAACTACATAGAACTAACCTAGCAACTACAAAGAACTAACCTAGCAACTAGAGAGAACTAACCTAGCAAATACTAAACTAGCAACTACAGAGAATAAACCTAGCAACTACAGACAACTAATCTAGCAACTATAGAGAACTAGCCTAACAACTACATAGAACTAACCTAGCAACTACAGAGAACTAACCTAGTTGGAATGTTAGTTGTCAACGGTCAACGCCGGATTCAACGCCGGAAGTCAACGGTCAATGCCGGAAGTCAACGGGTTAAAATAATATTTAAATAATTAAAATAATAAAAAAAAAGAGTAAATCTTGACCACACATGATGTACCAAATTTTATGGCTAAAAATTAGTCTCATGTCCTCAGTTTAAATAAGTAGATGTATTGAAATCAATCCCTATATATATATATATATACACACACACACACATTTTTGTATGAGACGGTTTAGTTATTGAATAAGGTAACTTTTTTTTTAATAGGGTGGCTTCAATGACAGAGGTGTATTGGGCCCAGGGGGTTCATGGACCCCCCTCATTTTTTTTTAAATCAATATATACGATTTAGTAATTTATAAAACTCAATATATAGTTGGATTGTTACATTTTAGAATGTTGGTTTTTTACTTTTTTTTCTTTTTTGTGTAATCACATATTTTAAATTAAGTTATTTTCTTCTTAA